CTAGCGCCTCGTGAACAAGATGTTCAAGGCTCAGATCGGAAAGACTATGAAGGTCTATATAAATGATATGTTGGTAAAGAGTATGGTTGCAGCAGATCATGTAACACACCTGCAGGATACCTTTGACGCACTGAGAGCCTATAGGATGAAGTTGAATCCTGAAAAGTGCGCATTTAGCTTCAGTTCGAGAAAATTCCTAGGCTTCATGGTTAAAAAACAGGGTATTGAAGTCAAACCAGACAAGATTAGAGCCATCTTGGAGATGAAGTCCCCCGCCTCAACAAAGGAGGTCCAACGCCTTAATGGGAGAATAGTAGCCCTCAATAGGTTTGTCTCTAAATCAGTAGATAAATGCCTACCCTTCTTTAAAATCTTCCGCAGGTCTTTCTAGTGGGGCCTAGATGAAGAGGAGACCTTCTAGAAACTCAAGGCCTACCTAGCCACACCACCTCTACTCTCACATGTTGCACCAGGAGAGACCCTGTACCTTTACCTCTCATCTTCACCCTCTGCTGTGAGTTCTGTCCTTATCAGGAAGATGGAGGCATCCAGAAGCCTGTGTACTATGTAAGCAGAGCATACCGAAGGGAAAAAGTAAGGTATTCAAAACTCGAGAAACTGGCTCTCGCACTTATCATTGTTGTCAGACGTCTACGCCATTACTTTCAGAGCCACACCATCATGGTTGTCATGGATCAACCACTAAAAAGGATTTTAGGAAAGCTTGATGTCTCTGAACGATTACTTAAGTGGGCTGTCGAGTTGAGCGAAGTCGATGTGCAGTACCAGCCGAGGACTGCCATCAAAACCCAAGCACTTGCAGACTTCGTGGCCGAGTCTACACCGCCACAAGAGTCCCAGGAGGAAATACCAGGAGCCCTTGCGCCCACCTACTTAGTACACATAGCCTTTACCAACTATGAGGTTGGAGGACATGATAACTCAGAGGAGGACCCTCAGCCTGAATAGCCCAGGGCGCCGCCCACCTGGCCTGGGGTGCCGCCTATCCTGCCTAGGGCACTGCCTCCTCTACCTCTATCGCATCCCTTTTTCTTCTCTCTCTAGGCATCGCTCAGCAGCCTGCAACCTCTTATCTTTTCGAAGCAATCACAGCTCCCATCATCATAAACATTGTCGCCCGTAGAGTTAGCTCTCTCTCAACCACTTACTATACCAGGTTGGAGACTCTACGTGGATGGGTCCTCCACCAGTGAGGGCGGGTGGCGCGGGACTAGTGCTGGTCAGCCCTCACGACACTCCATTGAAATACGATATCTCCCTCCATTTTTTCACATCAAACAATCAAGCTGAATATGAGGCCCTCATATCAGGCTTGAAGCTGGCATTAGAGATGGAGGCCCTCTACCTGACAGTCTATAGTGACTCCCAGCTTATAGTCAATCAGGTAAAGGAAGATTTTGAAACAAAGGAGAAGAGAATGCAAGAATACCTCTCGGTGGTCCAAGCCTTGCCTAGGAAGTTTACCAACTCCCAAATGCACCACGTGCCCCAAGAGGAGAACGCCATGGTAGACGCCCTCACCAAATTTGTCTTTGCCAACATACTAATGGCCCCAGCACTGACAGGCCACAAGTTCAGACCTAACATCTCCAATACAGAGGAGGATGATGCTAATTGTGTATCCCTGGAGTCCAATTGGATAACTCTCATTTGGGCTTACCTACAAGAGGGCACTATTCCAGACAACCCTGTAGAAGCCAGGAAATTTAGAATAAGATCGTCCAGGTATGCCATCCTACAAGATACCCTCTACAAGAAAAGTTATTCCCTACCACTACTTTGTTGTCTCACCCCCGAGGAAGCTAATTACACCATGAGAAAGATCCACGAGGGAATATGTGGGAATCACTCGGGTGGATGCATACTAGCCCACAAGACAGTTAGTCAAGGATACTGTTGGCCTACCATGATCAGAGACACCCGAGACTTTATCAAGAAATGCGACAAGTGCCAATGCTTTGTGACTATGCCCAGACAGCCACCCGAAGAGCTCACCATCATTCAGATCCCATGGCCATTCTCCATGTGAGGGATCGACATCCTAGGTCCCTTCCCTGTGAGTTGAGGCCAGTGCAAGTTCGTATTCATAGCCATCGACTACAGTACCAAGTGAGCAGAAGCCGAGGCTCTAGGCAGAATAACAGACTAGAAGATAAAGGACTTTATATGAAGGAGTCTAGTCTGCCGCGTTGGGATACCTCATGCCATTGTAAATGACAATGTCAAGCAGTTTCTACGTCGACCTCTAGATCAAGCAGCCCCACTCCAACCCTGCCCATCCACAGGCAAACGGGCAAGCAGAGGTCACTGTCAAGACCATACTCAACAATTTGAAATCCAGACTGGAGAGTGCAAAAGGAAGATGAGTAGAAGAACTCCTAGGAGTACTATGGGCTTAATGGATGACACCAAGGAGCCCTACGGGCGAGACCCCTTTTTCCCTAGCTTATGGGACATAGGCGGTTATACCCGTCGATATTAGGATGCACTCCCTTAGGGTCCAACACCATGACCCTACCAATAATGAAGAAGGCCTCCGCATCAACCTCAACTTGGTAGAGGAGGAGAGGGAGATAGTTATGCTCAGGAATGCAGAGTACAAGCGTCACATGACCAGGTACTATAACTCAATGGTGAAGCGTTGCTCCTTCTTACGCGAGGACCTATTCCTCAAAAAGGTCATCTTGTCTATCAAAGACTCCTAGGAAAAAAATTGGGACCCAACTGGAAAGGACCCTACACAATCACGGAGGTGGCAGACACCTATAGAATCCAGAATTTTGAAAGAAAAGTCATGGTCTATCCATGGAATGCAAAACATCCAATTTAATATTACCAATAGTTGGGGGCAGTGAGTTATAAGTTGGTGATCACTATTTAGACTATTTTATTTTTATTTTGGTCAATTTCCTTCAAATATTTACTTTGGATTATGAAATAAAATTTTTCAATATTTTTTCAAAAGTTGAATTTCTTTCAAGTTCATGAAACCTTTACAAAAAGATAGAATTTGACCTATCAACAAAAAATGTGAATACAAAGACACCTCCTAATGACACTCACTACCTCCGCTCCCATCATCGCTCGTGTCCTCCTCATCAGTCTCTGGAGCCTCATAAGGTTGAAAGCCAGAGAAGTCATAAGCAGTGAATGCTGCTAAGACCTTCCTTTTGAACTCATCATAGCCATCAATGAAGGCGTCTGCCTTGACCCTCTCAACAACATCCCTCATCTTCTTCATTTCTATGCAGTAAGTCTCTGCCATAGCAGCTATCTCAAGAGCAACTCGAAGGTCAGCCTCCAACTTGACATCTCTCTCATGTGCTAACCTCAATTGCTCTGCGGCATCCTTTTGTGCCTGCTGCTCGAGCTCTAACTACTTTGCGGCAGCCTCACGTGTCCGCCTCTTCGCTGCTTGGCCATTGATTGCCTCCTTGATCTTCAACGTACTTGTAAACTAACAGGGTAAAGCAGCGGCCACCTACAGGCAATTAAAAGTAAAATATAAAAAAAGAAAGTCAGATACAAAACCAAAGAAAAGTGCAGGGCATACCAAAGCAAAGCCCTCCACGATAGTGTCAACAACACCCTTAGGACCCTAGGAGGAAACCTCCTCAACCTTCGTGCGGGTCACAAACCCCCAAAGCCTCTCCCTGGCAAGCTTCACATCTGCAACATAGCAACTGAAGCACCTCTCGAAACAGGGCAGCTAGGTGGACCTTCCACCCTAGTAGGTGACTGCATCGGGGCCTCAGCCCCTACAACAGTACCGGGACTCTCTCTAGAGGGTGAAGGAGTAGCAGTCAGAGGTGAACGAGGGGAATCACCTAACACCGCCTCAAGGGGACTAGCCTGACCAGTGGGCCTCGGCTGAGAAGCGTCGGGGACACCGAACTTCATTCTCTTAGGAGGAGGAGGAAGAGAAGATGCCGCCCTAAAAAGCACAGACTGCCTCCACCACCGATCTATCAATAGAGACACCTGTAGAATCAGTGTAAGTTAAAAAGCCTACGATGTTGTGCCTACAAAGAGTGTACTGGAAAAGTCAAGTACCTTTCCTTTTCGGCCTCGGAGAAGACTTGGGATGACCAGATGCTGACATAATCCTAGAGAACTTCTTAAACAGATGGTCACGTACCATCTGGAGCTTGCTCTTTTGCTCTGCGAATTGCGTCGGCGAACCTACAAGAAGCCAGTTGCACTATAAGAACAAATGTGTGATAACCAGAATAAAGTTAAAGGAGGAGCCCTTACCCAGTTTAGTCTTGGGGACAATATTCCATCTCGATGGCACCAGGTCACGATCAGACTCAGTAGCCCAGTCGCCTCCAGCGAAGAAAAACTTGATCTTCCAACTCTGAAGATTCGAAGGAAGCCCGGTGATGAATTTGCCCGACCTCAGGGCAAAACGGTATCACCCCTGGTGAGGAATGGGGTTCTCCATGAGTACATACATGGCCAGGAATTCCTCGAATGGGGGATGAACATTAGAACTGTGTACCAACTGCCACAACAGTATCACCCTTCATCTGTTCGGGGCCAATCTCTCGGGAACCAGCGACAGTGCCCCAGAACTTGACATATAGCCCCAGGTATCGGAAACCTCAAGCCTGCCTCCAATATGCCCTCATAAAGGACAATTTCATCGAAGGAGTTGCAGCATACTGACTCGTCGCCCTTGGCACGACGGTATGTCACAGAAAGAGGAATGTGATACGAAGGAACTATGGCTGCAATGCCCTCGTCGCAGTCGAGGGAGCTAAGTATAGAAGTTACCTTAGAACCATTGTCTCCATCGGTTCCCAGGCCTCCATTGGAGTTTCGAGTATTCTCCCACTCGTCCAAAAGAACACATGCCAAAGTAAAGTCAAGACAAAGTTAGAAAGTATCCATACCAACAGAGGAGAAAAAATGAGTACCAGATGACGTACCTCGAGAGCTTGTTTTTATTCAGGTCACTACCTAACCGTTTCCTCACGCTACCCAAGTGCCCAAAGGTGTTGCTGCACCTGCTCACATGCTCCCCAAAATTGCACAAAGTGCATGAACCTCCACCAACGTCGTCCAAAGCATCCAAGTCACCGCCGCTTGGAACAAGGGACTCAGCGCCTTGACCGCCGCCCATATTACTAACCTCAAAAATAGAGGCCTGGATCGTGCCCGAGTAGCTGCCTGGCACATCATGGGCACCGCCCGGAGTGCAGCTGGTGCCGTCCAATGCACGGTAGGCGTCGCTTGTCTCACCTGGGGTGCCCCCTTGCACCGGTCTCCTTCTTACTCTCTCTCCCTCATGTGGGTGTTGCTTGTCAATGTTCCACCGACGTAACCTCCTTTTCACCCAAGGGCGTCACCCATGACTTGTGGCATGGCCAAGGCGTCGCTTCTCCCTTCCTCAACATAGGCGCCGCCCATGGCCTGGTGCTTAGCCAAGGTGTCGCCTTTCCTTTTCTCAACATAGGCGCCACCTCCTCTCTCTATCAAGTACCTATCGCCTCCAGCCAAGAATCCAGAGCCTTGGGCACCGCCTATTATGCCAGCATGGTGGGTGCCGTCGCTAGCCCCATGAGTGCCGCCCATAAGGCCGACGCCATAGACTCCTCTTCGTTCCTCTACTCTACTTCCCAAGCCTTGGGCGCCGTCCCTACCTCCAAGGTCCACCCCTTGGGCGCCACCATTGAGGCCCTCTCCAAGCTTCTTTGAGCTCCTGGTCTCCATGAATTTGTTATGATTTGAGAAAAGGAAGACTAAGTGAGAGAGATGGGTTGAGGAACAATAGCTTATACGAGAAGCCTTTAAATAAAGGGATATGACTTCTTGGAGAAGCCCCAAGGGAAATGAAAAGAGGAATGAGGAGGGAGAGACCAGCAACCTCTATATACAAGCAAAATTTTTACTAACAAAAGAACCAACATCGACAAAATATTAAGGAGAAAGAAAGATTGGAGAAAGCGGGTTCGCCTCTTATCCAATCGAAAGCCATCATAACCTCACTCTATGGCAAAAAATTAGAATGTCAATCGATCGCCCATGAATGTCTGATAGTTGTCTGCCAGAACACAGTTTTCCACCACCGTCAATTTTACTAATTTGTGCTTAAAACTCAAATTCAGAGAGATAGAAGCATTTTTTGGAAAAGATTGTTGACCAAACCGCGTATGTCATAGATCTCGAAAAAATACCCAAATTCAAAAACTTTTTTGCCTTAAACAGACGACCGAGCATAAAGTTATGGATGTTTAAAGTTTTGCCAATTTTTTATGATTTTCTGACACTCCGCCCAATGCCCCAGTGTGCTCCTTTCTCTTGGCATTGCTTGGGTCCTTGGTGTCGCCAATGACCAGTACCAATACTAGTACCAACCAGCGCACAGTTCCAACGACTGCAAGACAACGCCTATGCCAACACCCAAGCAGCCTCACCCAGGCCACCTTTTTGTCGCCCACTGGCCCCCTGCCTCTCACCTCTCATGTGATGTTGCCTAGTAGCTCCTCTCGTCCAAAGGCGTCACCCAACGCCCGTGGTCACCCCCAATGGCTCCACTCACTACTACTAGCCTTGGGGTCCCCCATAAATTTCCCTAGCTTTGAGGGTCCAGTACAGAAGTGATCGTCATACAAGACAAGGAAAGGATTTTTGCAGAAACGGGGAAGACGAATAAGCTACCATGCGGGACAAGAAACCTTTTTCAGATAAAGAGCTCACTCATGCCCTCAATCCCCTTCTCTCGCAAATAATCGGGCTTGGGGCATGAGGGCAAATTATGAGCCCAAAATCATCTGGGTCAGACCCAATAAATCAAGAAGGTCCAAGTCAGCTAAAGAGTGACCTAGGCCCACTTTGCAAGTTCGACCCAAGTCAAGATCCAAGAAGCCCGGAGAGATAGGAGCACATGGGAGAGAATATCGGGATATGCATTCATGGTGATCTAATCCTACCTTAATTATACTTACCAAAAGAGTAGAACTCTCTCCCTCACATCACCGCCTCACCTCCTCACCAAACCTATATAATATAAGCCTTCTTCACATGGAGGGGCATCACCATGAGACCTCTACTTCTTGTCCCCTCTACACCTCCCTAGCTTCTCTCTCCTAAAGCATTGTAATACTCTTGGAGTATATTCTCCCATTTATTTTATTCATCAATAAAGATCTCCGGCCTCCGCTACCGTTCCCGAGAGTGTAGTGGGTCACTCGGACAGAACCATTATAAATCTGCGTATTTGCTCTTATTTATCATTTTTTCAGTGATTATCTTATTTATTGCTCATTAATTACACTCGTTCAAATATTCGACTGTTGATCTTGTACGAGACCAATTTGTGCATCATCAATTACTTGTATAAATAGAACACATACACACTATACAGAAGGGTTCCAAAAAAAAATATATTCACAAGACACTGTATACACAGGCTCTAAGTCAAGAAACTCATTGTAATCTTTTTCTTCAAGCAATATAATCTCCAAAGAGTAAGAGTCTCCATTTGTAGTGGATGTAGCCATGGTCCTTTAACTAAGGTGGACCACTTATATACTGTTTTTGGTCCAACTTTATCTCGTACTTCTTTGTTAACTTAAATATTCACATCATCTCCCATCGGGTCTCATAACCATTGTTTTGCACTTGGGCCGTGTAACTTTGAGCACCATCAATTATAATACAAAAAAAAAAAAATTAAAATTTGGTATCGTAATTTCAAATTTTATTATTTTGATTAATATTTTTATAATTTTTAAGGTTTATTTTACAATAAAAAAATTTATAACTTTTGTGAGTATTTTTACGACTCTAATTGGTGTTTTGTGTTTAGCGTAGTAAAAATAGTTACCATAAAAGTGATAAAAATACTCAAAAAAATAATAAATGATGATACGATTCCAATAATAATATAGTTATTAATATATCATAAGAGATGATTGATAATGAGCTTCTACTAACCAATGAAACCAGAGATATAATTTCAACTTTATCACATCGATTCGAATTCTTGATAATTATTTAGAGTCAAGTTATGAGAAATTTATCCTTTATGAATATCTTAGTTTAAACATAATTGGTATGCCTTTGACCGAACTAAAGAAAACTTAATCCAGATGTGCATAAATTGAACTGAATACATCGTTGAAGAATAAAAAAACAAAAAAACAAAGAAGTATGACATGATGATGTATTGTTGCCAAAAACTAAACTTGATTGTGGGGACAGGGTAAATATCATTGTTAAACCATGGCTAAAAAGATAGAAACATAAGTGAAAGTTTTCAACAAAATAATGTCGGTAGGAGTCTTTTGTGATGATTAGTAATCATACTATAAACTCGAGGTATTACTTTTTCAATTATGCTCCGTTTGGTAGGGAAGATGGAAAGTAAGAAAGATGAAAAGTAGGAATGATACACTTTCTATCATTTAAGGATGAAAAGTAGGAAGAATACACTTTCTTTCTTTTGTGTTTGGTTGGATGGATGAAAAATAAAAATGACTATTTTTTTTTGTGTTGGCTATAATTAGGAGTGACAATCGAGTCGTGTCGTGTCAGATTCATGTTGAGTCATTATAGATTCGTGTAAGAGTTGACATAATTTAGTAATATTATCGTAATTGCAATGTTTGACTTTTTCATTAAGACTATATCACGTATCACTCAATAGATTAAAGAATTAGATCAAATTTTTAAATTGAAAAATCTTACTCTATACAAAATACGCTCATCATAATCCACATAACTTTATTGGATCTTGCAATTTAAGTAATGGAAATTATTATTTGGGGGAACGAGTTTTAGCAAGAACGTAATTGTGATTTATTTGTGTAATGCTCATATAGACCTGTTTGGACTTAATTATAAGAACATTCGATACATGGGTAGTTTGTAAGATTGAAGACATTAAAGAATTACCACGTGTTAGAATCTGAAGAAGATGCGGGAAATGATCAGTGATAGCCTTATTTGAAAAAAGAGAGTGACTTTCTGGGAGTTACAAACCAATTAACTGTCGATGGAGAGAAAACCCGTCGAAGGGAGTGGCTATAAAAGACGGACAAGAAGTTGAACAACTCAAACCCCTTACAAGACCCACGATCAGGGCATTTAGAAGTAGTATTAAAATTAATTTTAGGAAGTAGTTAGTACTTTAATCAAAGACTGTTAATTCAGGAGGTGTTTGTTTCATGTTTTTGTTTCAATTTTTTGAGTAAACAAAAACAAAAACATGTTTGAGTTTGTGTTTTATATAAAATAAGTTGTTTCAAAAAACAAGGCCAAAAAATAAGGAACGAAAAAAAAATGTTTTCGGAAACAAGGCATAACAAAAGCACGCGCTAAGAGAGTTAATGAAATCCGAGTATATTATTGACCATATCATTAATTTATCAAATTAATTTAATTTGTTAAGTCTCAATAGCATCATTGAAAGAAAAAAAACAGAGGACTTAAGGATATAACTTGAAGTAGTTATCAAACATGTTTTTTATTTTCATTTTCATAATTTGGTAAACACAAATGACTCCTAAATATATTTTATGTTTTCAATGTTTATCACAAAACAAAATAAAAATTGTCTGTGTTTTTATTTTTTTGAAAATGTGAATTTTTGTTTACCAAACAACCCCTCAATCTCTCTATAATTGAAACTCATTCAATTGGATTAATAAAGAAATTCTCTTTTATTAATTCATCATTCTGTATGTTTATTGTTTTAAAATTTCATCCAAGACATGAAACAAAATAATTAACTCATCTACAAACAATCGTCTGAGAATTATCTGTCAATTGAGACGTTCCGTCGATCGCAACAAATTTTGGAGCAACAAGACCTAACCTACTCTACTTGTCCCTCACTAGTACTAGTAATTTCACCAAAATCATCAACTACTATCGAGTTTCTATCCTGAACAAAGATGAGAGATTTTTATGTTGTCATAGTAAGCATGAGTAGCATTGACTTGTACAATGCCCTCAATCATCCACAACACTTTTAGCACTTTCATAGAGGTATTACAGGGGTGTGTAGGAATGATGCTTAGATGAAGCTTCTCATGTAGCATGTATATATCAACTGATCCTAGGTATCAAGCTAACCAATTTGAATACAAACCGGACCATCTACAAACTTTAGACCTCAATACGCAAACATGAGCATATAGAAACATATGGTCATTGCAAGCAAAATAGACTACTCAATCTAGTATTTTACCTATCCATATCATTTAGCCGCTGGGTTTTCGAATAGTGTAAAAAATGTGTTTCAAATCGGGATTTAACAACTTTCTAAATTTGGCCAGTGTAGGTGCATATCCCTTCTTCTTCTTTTTTTGATGGTACGACATATTACTACGCTATCTTTGAACAAAGAATCCCCACTTAAATGATCCATTTCTGAAAAGTTAATCACTGATTTTTCTTTTTATCAGAATAATAGAGTCGTTATGTTTATTACTAAATTTGTTGAAGAGATGAAATATGCAAAAGGATTAGAAACTTTACAGAAAAATAAGACTGAAATAAATGACTTTTATGAACTGTCACCGTAGTGATTGATTTTCTTTGACTTTTCTTAGTTGCATGATCACTGGCGTAGTTGTTAGCTGATTAAAAGCTACAGTAAATTCAAAAAAAAAATAAAAAAAAAATCCCTTTCATAACAAGATTTAAGCCAAACCTAATCAATGGATGCATCAAAACACTCTCCCCCTTTGACCTTACTCCACTATCTCAAACTCCCTCTCCACATTGCCCATCATGCACTCAATCCCATGCCCATTTGACACTCCCTATCCTCCTTTTATCTGCGTTCACAAATTTCGTCAAATGTTCCACCGTCAACCCAATTATTATCGTCGTTAATGAAAGTGGACCTTATACTAACTCACTACCATGACAACTCCATCATTTGAAACAGCAATTTTGTCAATCATCGTTAATTCTCTCATCAGAGTCACTGTCCTCGCATTCCCGCCGTCCATGCTGACCTTGATTATGATTGTCAAGTAGGTCTTCTGTGAAAAAAATGGTGAATAGTTATACCATTTGGAAGAGATGCTAAAAAGTGTAGATATTGGCAAGTTAACTTGGGCCTGGACAATAGTCCATGTTGGTTGTTCAGTTGTTTCAAGTTCCAGCCCAACCCAGCTTTGCCTTTGGGAACACAGTGGTCATCGATCAAACCAATCCAATGAGGGGGCTGTCTCATTCATAGGTTTTGATGACATACTTCATAGTTCATTCACATTTCATTACTGGGCTGCTTCTCATTATAACACCCATTATTATTATTAAATTAATATTAAATTTTAATATTTAATGAGATTTATCATCAATCTAATAATTATAATAAATTAAGTCATCAAATTAAATTAATAAATTAGATCTAAATAGCATTTCCTACACTTACAAGTACGAAGGAGAAATGTTTTGGAGAGAAATGTAATATAGATTTAATTTGAGAACATTATTAATTGTAACTGTTGGATTGAAAATTGGCACCACCTAAGCTTAGAACTTACAATTAACTTAATGATTGCAATAAATTAGATCCTCATGGCATTATAGAATCAATTCTTATTTTCAAGCAGAATGTCCTAACAAGTTGTTGGTCAAGTTGGTAAGAACTTGGATTTTTTTGCTTAATGCTTGGGTTCGAGTCTTTATAACTATGACTATTCATTGGGCTAAATTTACTCATCAGCCCCTAGAGTACGCGGTAAGATCTTAGCTTTGATTTTGACGTAGCTGCAGTGGAGATCTTTTACAGATAACTATGAGATGTTAAGAGAACAATACTTTCTAACGAATATGTGAAGTAACCTACAAAAAAATGAATATGAGACACAAAGTCATTGCTAGTTACTCAAAAGATACATAAGATATCAAATAATCACAGTAACAAGGCATCATCTCAGCAAATTTAGGAGAAGGTTACGGTACCCAAAAAAATAAAATGATGTCGTACTTCCATTTATATGTTTTGTAACTTTGTTTTAAAAAAATATTTGAGACTCATTTATAATTTTTAAGGATCATTTATAATATTTAAAAGTCATTTATAATTTTTGAGATTACTATCGAACTTTAAAATTTTTGTAGGGATCACAAATAACTCTCAAAAGTTATAACTTAGATCATAAAAAGTTTAAAAAAAAAAAAAATTTGTTGTAAATTTTTTATTATTTCTTTTAAATTTCTCATTCTCATCACTATTCACAAATCCAAATCCAAATCCAAATCCAAATCCAAATCCAAAACCAAAACCAAATGCCAAAAGCCAAAAGAAGCGCTCAAGAACGCGAGAATTTTCCACAGAAAATATCTCCCTGCCAGAGTCAGCCTGCAAAGTATCTTCTGAGTTTTCTTCACACGTCTCCCATAAAAAAAGAACTGTTTCCCGAACTTTCCCGATCGCCTTCACCACTCCTCGGAACTCCATAAATATCTCTCTCTATAGATATTTATGATTTTGCTTATGCAGATAGGAACCACATAGACAAAACCCATTTTTCCCTCCCCAGACCTATATATGAGCCTTCACCGCCTTTCCACTTCAATTGTTCATTGCTTTAGGATTGCTACAGATTGCTTGCCTTCGTGGGTCTTCTTTAAAAAGTTGCTTTTGGTGCTGTGACTTTGTGTTTTTATAGTGGTGGTGATGGAGTTTAATAAAGGGTCGTCGTCTTATTATAGTATTCTCGGCGTCGGTGCCGAGTCTTCGGAGGAAGATATTCGCCGTGCTTACAGAAAGCTTGCTATGGTACGTTCATATTCTTGGTTTTTGTTGGCTTACCATTGTAACTACAAAGGGTTTGTGGAGTTTTTTTCGTTTTGGTGATGTATTGGGTCAATGATATCGTGGTGTGATTAATTAGTTTGGGGAACGAATGCTCTGATGACCATTGAGACATAAATACAAACAGATGATGTGCTTTTCAGTTTCGAGTTATGATATTGTGTGCGAAGTAATTGACTTGGGTATATCCAATTTTGATGCAGCAATTGCATCCTGATAAATGGACGAGAACCCCTTCACTGCTAGGGAAAGCCAAGCGTAAATTCCAGCAAATCCAAGAAGCTTATTCAGGTATATTGCATTGTAATTATGAATGTTGTTTACGTTCTTTTTTTCTTCTTTACCTGAAGAATTTGAGTAGTTATGTTATTTTCTTACTATTTCATTGTAATAGTGTTATCTGATCAGAGGAAGAGAACGATGTATGACGCAGGCTTATATGACCCTGATGAAGAAGAGGACGAGGTGAGTATATATTGGTATGTATTGTGTATCTTTTTTTTTTTGGTGTGCTTCCTGCAGTTAATTTTATCATCTTTTTTCAGGGATTTGCTGATTTTCTTCAAGAAATGATGTCTCTTATGGCTGACGCTAGGAGAGAGGTATGAGCAAACTCATTAAGCTATTATGGTTTTAAATGAGATTTTTCTGTAGGGCATATGTTTCTTTAAGGTGAAACATGAAATGATTTGGTCTTTTTTTACTTTTGTTACACAGCTATATTGCTCTTTGAATATTTTTTTTTTCCAATAAGAAATGATCTTTGTGATGCATCTATTCTTAGACCATACAAAAGGTAGCAAGGAGTTTCTTTGATCTATAAGAGATTTATTATGGTATCACCTGCATGATATGTGAGGGCTGTGATCATTTATGCACAAACCTAAAAGTTGAGATATTAGAAAATCACTAAGAATAGGGTGTACAAGCGAGCAGGATTGAGCATAGTAATGGATTCTTTTCTCCTGTAGGGAACCCCAACCGGCTAGAAATGGAAGCTCACAAGTTGACTTGTTTATCTCACCTGTCTGTCATGGAATGAGCTTCTAGCCCTAACAAACAAACCCACCAACTATGGTCGATAAAATCACAATTTGGATTAGGAATCTTCGATTTATAACATCTGGATCACGATTCATTAAGATCCTATCAATTTGGTGAAGACTCGAATCAATTTGTCTGTTTCAAATCGTAAGATACGGATTGGGATTTTGATCACCATGCTCTTGAGTTGATTGTGGGGGATTGTTGGTAATCGGAATTTACTCTTACAATGGTTGGTCCAATTTGACCCTGTTTTGGGGACATTCTTTGTCAAGAAAATGATAAATTGGGAGCTGGAGAAACATCTCTGATTTCTTTTTTTACTTTGCATGTCTATTCAATTCTTTTATTGGGTAGATACCTGGCTTCCTAAGCTATGGCCTAAGCTTAATGGGATGGCTAACAGTTCTGTTGCTTGTTAGTTAGTTAGAGATTAGTCGTATTGATGATAAGGCAACATGTTCTTGTTTCTTAAGTAGTCTGAAATATTATTTTTGGTTGCACCAGAAGAATTGGCTTGTATACTTAATGGTGATGGTTTTTAGTTTTTGAACTTCAACCTTGTATAGTGTCATACTAGAGTATGAAGGTTCTTGGAATCAGGGTACATGTTGAGGCAGGGGAAAATGTTGCTGGGGTACAGAAACGTGTTTCCTAATGTATTCATGAATTTCTGTGTGCAGAATAAGGATTACAGTCTGGAGGAGCTGCAAAGTATGTTTTGGGAGATGGCCCAAGATTTCGAGTTTCCTGAGGGGTCCAGATTCCCTCAGCAGCAAGTCTCTGACTCCTCTCGATGGTTCTGTGCACAAGAGAAGCTCGATGACTCCAGAACCTCAAAGAGAGCACGATGGGATACAAATCGAGTGGCGGGGAGAAGTTCATCAATATCACAAGCGCCAAGCCTGGAGATGCATAAGGCTTGTGAGTTCTGCAGATAGACAACAATAGGGCGTTATTGTGTTAGGCTTGGAGATGTGTGGGATTAGTTGCTTTAGCACATAGGTAGACGGTACAGTCCAAACATTTGGTTCTAGCATGGATAGAAGGGAATATTCTCGTTACTTTATTTCTTGGCGGTCTCATGTTCATGTTAATATGCTCCATTTACAATGTAAGGTATCAGTGATCTATGAATCGCTTGTCTTCAATGCTTCTTTGCCAATTTAAGGTAGCAGTGATCTCTTATGGGTCTGGCCCAAAGCCCAACACAGACTACAGGGGCCTAACTTTAATAAGGACCCACCTAGACAAAATTCAATGGACTCGGTCCAAAAAGAGATTCATGCCTAGTCAGGTCCACGAAGGCTCCAAAAGCCACGTAATCATGAAGTTGCGTCATACAAAGTTTCATCCACGCCAGTTTAGAGTAAGAGTCATGCCATCCTAAGACTAGGTCTTGAGGAGAGTCCCGCAACAGTCTTATTCGTTGAGATGATTATGTAATTTTTACCAAATTAGCCTTTTGATTTTGATAAGTTGTTTTAATCTGTTAGAAGGTGACTATAAAATGTAAGCCCTGCTTACACATGGGGGGCATCAACTATATCTGGCATCACTCTCATCTTTTTCATAGCTTGTATCTCACTTGAGTTCTTATTACTCTCAATAGATCTTCTTACCCTCCTATAACAATAAAACACTTAGGATATCTTAGCCCTTCACAATGGAGTAGATGATCTTGACTGAATCACTTAAATTGTATTTTATTTGAGTTTCTCTCTATTTTATTATTTGCATTAATTACTTGACAGGTGGTATGTAAAACTAATTTGTGCATCATTGGTTTGACGCCGTCTGTGAGAACGATAAAGTTTTCACTAAACCATCATCTTTTTTTGGTATCAATGGCAATTACCACTAGATTCATGAATTAGCATGAGGATAATCTATCACTTGAAGAAGAAGTTATCCCTCCGCTGACCAATCCTCTTCCAAACCCACAACAGATTCTCAAAACGATGCAATGATTACTAAGCTAGAATCAACAAATATTGTAGTTGATGATCGCTGGACAAAGAGTGCACAACTGGGAGAGCATGAAACTAGGGGAGCTCCTCGCCCAGGGCGCTCCCTTAGTAGCCCCCTTGGGTGCCTTTTTAAGTGTGGACCATGCGAGCCATTTTCATGACTCATGCAAAGGAGTCTCCAATCATTGGCACGAGAAAATCGACGAAGTATAGAACCAATTGTGTGACTTCTTCAACGCCATGAAGGTGCAAAGACCGGAAACCTTTGAGTACCTTGTAAGTCGAACTAACACGCCTTTTACAGTTAATGTAGCGAATTACCCCCTTCCCTAGAAATTCAGAATGCCATCGTTGGAAGTGTTTGATGGCATGAAAGACCTATTGGATCACCTCAACACTTATAAGTCTTTGATGCAGCTACATAATGTGCACGACGAAATCATGTGCAGAGCCTTTTCAACTATCTTGAAGGGATTTGCCCAACATTAGTTCGCCAAGCTCACCCTGGCCTCCATAGGTTCCTTCGCCGAACTAAGTAGGTCCTTTGTAGCACATTTCTTTGGTGGATGCCACCATCAGAAGCCTGTCACCCACCTGCTCAATATAAAACATGATCGAGACAAGAGTTTGAGGAGTTACCTCACTCGTTTTAACGAGGAGGTCCTCCCGATGAAAAGGTCTCCATGACCGCCTTCTTGGGAGATCTCTGCTTATTGAGTTTTCTCTTCTCTGTAATGAAACGCCCACCAAAGAACATGCTAGAACTGTTGGCAAAAGCTCAAAAATATATGAATGTTGAGGACATCACCAAAGTCAGGCGAGGTGAATCCTCACGAGCACGGGAGAAAATAAAAAAAAAAGAGATGGAGACAATAAGAGGGAGAGTGGAAACAAACGAGGCAGGACAGAAATGGTGTCTGCCAAAGACCGACTTGGTTCTGCCCCTCAGAGGAGCAGCAAAACTTCACTCCACTCAACGCCACTATTGGGCATATCCTACTTCAGATCCAGAATGACCCCGCGATGAAATGGCCAAGAAGGATGAAATCTCCCCCAAATCGCAGAAATTCGAGCAAGTATTGTCGCTTCCATCGCGACCATGGCCTTGACATCAACGATTGCTATGAGCTTAAAAGACAGATTGAGGAGCTCATACAACATGGATAGTTACGCCAGTATGTCGTTGGTAGAGGTCAAGCACCACCGCCAGCTCAAAACCAGGATGCCCAACAACCTCTTGGAGAAATCCAGACCATCTTAGGAGGGCTAACAGGAGGGGGAGAGTCGCACTCAGCCATGAAGGCCCATGCCAAAAAGACTAGACACACCGATGATTTGCATCCTATCCAAGTCACCTAGACAGGAAGAGGGCAAGGTCATCTCCTTTTCAGATAAGGACCTAGAAGGAATTCAGCACCCCCATGATGACCCACTGGTGCTAATTATGACTGTGGCCAACTTTTAAGTGCGAAAGAGTCTCGTAGACAATAGCAGCTCTGTGGACATCTTATTCACAAAAGCTTATGATAATCTCTGCCTTGGAAAAGAAAGGCTATAGCCCATCAGGTCGCCCTTTATTAGATTCTCAGAAAAAAAGGTGTACCCTTTAGGATCCATCGCATTGTCAAGCACTGCCAACATAGCACCACAAAGTTCTAGTGTGATGGTGAACTTATTGGTGATAGATTGTCCATCAGCCTACAATATCATCTTAGGGCGACCCGCTCTTAACACCCAAAGAGCAGTACCTTCCACTTACCATCTCATCCTCCGTTTTTCAACCCTAACTAGAGTTGGAGTGGTCCAAGGAGTTACTGCAAGATAATGCTATGTCTCCTCTATAAGGGCGAAGAAGCCACAAGAGGCCCTACAAGTGGAGGTGCTCGACCCCAAAGATAATGATACACTAGAGAGAGAAAAGTCAATGGAGGAGCTCACACCAATAGTCTTGGACAAGGAGCATCCAGAGAAGAGGGTGCACATTGGCTTCTCTCTTCTTGAGGGTCTATGTAAGACCCAAACATGTATGACGATCATATAAAATATTATTACGAGCATGTTTGCATGTGATATGAATGTGCATGATGGTAAACTGCTAAATAAAAAGGGAATATTAATTAGATGTGAAAAATTAAATGAATATGTTGCATGTGACATAATAAAATTATTTGAAGTATGTTAGCGCACATGTGATTAAGTGAGGTGGCAAACATTTGATACCAACACATTACTACAAATATTTGTCAGTGTATACAATAGGTGGATTAAAGACTAGCAATATGATTTAATGTATACCCTGAATGTGCTTATATAAAGACAGATGCAAGGACTATGGTGCAATATATGATATATAAAGGCATATACAAGGACTAAGGTGCAATATATGTTTTAAATATATACATGCAAGGACTAAGGTGTAATATATTATATATATACACGCATGCAGGGACTATAATGCAATATAGTGTATAGACTTGTGGATGATGGACAGTGTATGCAATGATGATGGACACTCCACTTAAAATAGACTTGTGGATGGCATTAGGAGGGAGAAGAAATTGGCGGCTAAGAGAGAGGAGTGGGCACACCAACCAAGTCTTGGAAAAAAATTATAAAAAAGGGATGAACAAAAAAAACCAAAAAAAACACGAAGAGAGAGAAGAGAACAAAAAAAACAACAACAAAGGCCAAGACTTCCTTTACACTTAGGAGTCTCGGCTAAGAAAGGAGGACAAGGTTTCGGCCCGGAGGAGAGGAAGGGAAAAGAAGAAGCAAAATTAAGGGTTGGAAAAGAATTCAATGTTGGAAAATTTGGGGGTTTGGATATGCATCCCCATGTAAGGTAAGAAATAGCGTGTCTTTTGTTACATTTTCATAGCTATATGGGAATAAATTAAATGCAAGAATAATTTTTAGACTATGCATTTCATAGCATTAAACTATAATAGTGTACGAGTGATTTTAATTCACTGGAGTGTTGAATTATTAGTTATGTAGTCAAAGATTTCAACGAAATTCTGGTATAAAGAAATATTAGTGGATAATCTCTAAAATTAATGAATTTTATGTTGTAGGAAAATTTGGGTCGAGTAGATTATTTTATTTGGCACGAGTAGACATATTTAATCGAATCGAATGGATTAATTTACCCGGTTGAATAGGTTATTATACTCTAGGCGAGTAGATTATTTTAAGTAGATTATGTCAATTGGTTTGAGTTGATTATTTTAATTGAGATTTTAAGGCAGTTATCAAGGATTCGTAGAACATATGATGATTTATTTCTAGTTAGGAAATTACTCTATAATAGTGAAGTTAGCCTCTTTATATAATTAACGTGAAAATAATTTAAATACTTAAAATATTAATAGTGATCCACTTGAGCTTAGGAAAGAGATTGATCGGGTCTTATAGCATATAAATTATGTTGGAGTAAGTGTGAGTATGCACATATAAATTAAGTATTGAGGACATTAAAGGATATATGTAAAATGCTTGAACTATATGTGTGGTAGGGTCAGAAATATCTACATCAAGGAACGTCTCGCTAAAGGACCCGGCAGAAGGAATCGACATCGATTTAGATTTTTACTCGAGGTAGGTGCGCTACCCTGAAACTTTTTGTGATAATTTATTAGATTTTTACACATGTTTTTACTATGGTTATTGTTGGGAATGATTAATTGATTAGGGACACACGGTACATTATGAGACTTGTTTAAATGATGAGAGAGAATTATGTGATTTTAATGGTCTAAGTAACATGAAGTATTTATATGGTTTGAGTTGTTTATGTAACGGGATTTGATTATGTGGTGGAGTTGTCTAAGTAACGTGATCAAAAAACTCTCTGTGATGGGGGTCATCTAAAGGAAAATCATTAATGTGGATTGGGTTGTACTACTAATAAATGATATCTATGAGGTGATACAATCTAGCGATACATGTGGTCTATGTGCCCCAAGAATTTGCACAACTAAATATACCCTGTGTTGCGGTTGTTGTTTACAAGGTGATTAGTTTGTCTGCATGTGGGGTAGTCATTGTGAGGAATAATTTAATTATGTTGAAGTAAATATATGTGTTGTATATTTTGTCAATGTGAT